TAGTAATTTCTAAAACTGTGGAACTGCGTACATTAAAATTTTTTGGGTAAAAATTATTCCCTCAACCTTTGTTGCTGTCTTTTAGTGAGTAAATTTTTTAATAAATTACAGAGTTTATTACATGGGTAGTTCTACAAAAGAAAGAATTTTAGACGGCACAGCTTATTTCGTATATTTATATTTAAAAAAATTAGTTTTTTCCAAATTGAAATTATAAACCATAACTGTGTCTAGTACGAACCTCGAAATAACCCTGTTTCAACTCATATTTATTGCAAAAAATTACATTCAAAATGTAAAATTCTGTCTCCTGGTATGTCACTTCGAGAAAGTGAAAGCTACTAAACTGCATAAGTATTGTTTCCGATATGTAAAAACAATTTTACACTGCAGTAGTGATTTTCGTATTAGTATTATTTCACTGTGTAAGTAATCAAATTTAATAGTGTTTTTTAAATTCTTTAATAATTAGGGTAAATAAATAGTTTTTGTCGTTATCAGTTTTAAAAGTTAATTTTGTTAAACCCACGAACAATACAATACTGTGATTAATTTTATTATCACACTATTTTCCTTACCATACGATTGTCATATAAATGGGCTGGGTCGACAATGATAAGGTTCACTTTCTATAATAATTCTTATCTACCTAAATTAAATTTTGTTGTGTTTTGTCTACGTGTCACTACGTGGTGTTTTAATTATTTATTTAATATTTCAGTTCTTGGATGTTTTTATAAAAATTGTGAATGTTAATATATTTATTGTTTTATTTATACAACGATTTAATTACTTTGGTTAGTCACTGAACATGAACCGTTACAAATTAGCTAATTCATCTGCTTTACATCTTCTTTAACTTAAAAAACCAGCCTTGAGGAAACCGACAACTTGGAGGAAACGTTGATTGTTGTTTTTAAGTAACTTTTAACATCTCTTTTGGCGTTGACCTTGCCCCGAATTTAAAAACAAAGAACAAGAACTTTTCGTTTTTGACCCTCCAAAAATAAATTTAATACTAATAGTTTGTCATTTGGTTTAGTTTTACCTACAATATTTTGAATATTGGTATCTTCATGCTTCGCCACCTCGTATCTTTGCCTCTCGAGCCGCCTCTTTGGGAAAATAGCGCCGAAAAACAGTTTTCTGACAACACGTATCTCTCTTTCGAGTCATTTTACGATGAAAATAGTAATGTAATAAATTAAACTAGAGAAAATTTCCTACAATTTATGGAGTAATCTATTTTTTGTAAATTAAATCATATGAACGTCCTAAAGTATACTCCAACATGTGCATTGGCCGAAAAACTCATTTCTGCACCATGCGGTAAAGTGGTAAATTGGTGCTTTTTTTTATCGTGATATCCCTAGTGGGCCTAATTCATATGCGGTACACTATTGCAAATTTTGGTGTATAGTCCTTCGCTTCGAAATCTATAAAACCAACAAATTTCAAAACTCCCGGAAAACTTCCAGGAAACCTTTTTTTGAGTAACCAATGAGTGTACTATAAATAATGTGCATATTTTTGTTGCGACTGATAATCTTTTTCTTTTTCGTGCGCACGCAAGCCCCTTTTTTATCCATTTAATAAGCTTGCAGGTAAAGTTGTATTCGTTCTTTTCTTCCAGTAAGTTACTCTTTTTGGCATAGTTTTTGATGCAATGGTAAGCATGCGAATAATATCACGTTACACATTTACCGCAATGATAATAAACATCTAATAATAAGCCTGATTTAAAGAAAAATGTATTAATANTAGTTTTTTGTATACAAAGAAGTAAAAATATCTATTAATTTTATTTGATCTCCATTTCATTTTACTTAATTAAACATAGAAACGTTACAAAGACTGCCTCTTGTAAATTACCCATACAAAAGTGCATTGTTTTAGTCTAAATAAATATTTGTCTATTTATCTTAAAATGTATAAAACCTACACGATGTACTAGTTAGGTACCTAACTGTTTTATTTAAACAAGATAAAGTAAAGTGTCTTGGACTCGAAAAGAAATTTCATTAAGGTTCGAGTAATGTCTTTGGTCTCATCTGTTAAAGTTATTACTTTACGTGTGTTTTTATAATGGAGAAAGCTCTTAGCATACAGTCTGGACTGGACTTTGTCATAGGACAAGAAATTCAGAATGACGAAAAACGTGGCCCAGAAAAATCTCTTACGGAAAAATTATCCATAATTTTCAAGAACATCTCGGTGGAACCGGTTTTCTTTTTATACCAACTTCCCAGTGTAATGGCAGCTCTGTCCATTCAAAATCTCAACTTGGAAAAGGCATGCAGAGTGAACCTTCAGATGAACACGGAAACATGCGACGCCTTGACAATGAGAAATGCTTCCGGTTACAATGCAACCGAAGAAATACAAGTTCAAAAACTTGTTGCGTCTATGAATGCTTGGAAAAACATAATACAAAGTTTACTTCCGTTAACAATGCTTCTACTTCTTGGTTCTTACAGTGACAGGCACAAGAAACGAAAGTTGTGTATACAATTGCCAATAATTGGAGAAATGTGTGCGACACTCAGTTTCATTGCTTGTACTTATTTCTTCTACGAACTTCCCATGGAATGTAATGCAATCGCAGATTCGGTGCCACCGGCTCTTTTTGGAGGATGGTTTACATTTTATATGGGAGTTTACAGTTACATAAGCGTCATGTCGACCTTAGAAACTAGAACTTTACGAATCGGGGCAACAAATATCGCTGATAAAGTCAGTTTCACAATTGGTATAGCTTTAAGTGGTGTTCTGTACAGAATTCTGGGATTTTATGGTGTTTTTGGGTTGGCTATAATTCTTTATATAATAGGGATAACATACACCATATTCTGTTTAAAAGAAGTCCCTAGAGATGACGTTCCTAAGAGGCAAGAACATTTCTTAAAGGATTTCTTCAATTTTAAACACATTATGGGAACAATAAGGGTAGCGTTCAAAAAGGGAGACAGGAATAGAAAGAAACGCGTTTTGGGAATAATGGTGCTTGTTATGGTCATTATAGGACCAGTGCATGGTAAAGGCAAACTTTTAAACACTGAAATTTGGCTCTTATGAATATGAATTAAGAGACTTTAAACAATTATTATTCTTCTACATAATCGTTTTATTAAAAAAAAAATTGATCTCCAGTAGGTGCTTATTACAACGCGAAATTTTCTTATTTGATCTCTGTTTTCGGGTTATTTTTATAATTCCTTCTTTTTTTTAGGGGAAATAAGTGTGTCTTATTTATTCGTAAGGTACAAATTTGGTTGGAACGAAGTTGACTACAGCCTTTTTCACACGTTCATAGTCGTAATGCATATGATTGGTACGAAAAAAAGGAATACCATATAAATAATTATCTTTTTTCTCACAAAATAATCACTAGCTATTTAATTATTCTCAATTAAAATACATAGTAAAAGAAACTAAAATTCTAATACTTTTTCTTTATTTTAGGAACCTTTTTCAGTTTAGCATTTTTCTCTAGATTTTTGAAACTCGACGATACAGTTCTGGGTATGATCTCAAATTTTTCAAAATTTCTAGCATGTTTTGTTTTTGCTTTTGCTCCCAATTCAAAAATATTTTATTTAGGTAAGAATTGTCTCATTTATAGTTTTCTTACCAAGTAAAAAAATTAATTTTTAGGTGCCGTTGTCGAAATGTTGAACGGAACTTCGTTTATTGCCATGAGATCTATAATTTCAAAATTGGTACCTCCAGATGAACTAGGCATAAAAAATAAAATAATAATTTGCTTTTTAATCTAGTAAAATTAATTTCAGGTAAAATTAATTCTTTATTTGGAGTGTGTGAAGCACTTATGCCTTTAATTTATGGACCAATGTACAGTTTAACATATAAAATGACTATAAACTGGTTACCAGGATTTTTTTATATATTAGGAGGAGTATTAACACTGCCGTCTGTTTTTATTTTCTTGTAAGTTTAAAAAATACAGTTTAAAAAAAGAAAGAAGTTTGACTTTTGATATTCCAGGTGGCTCTACACTGAACATAAAAGGGACGAAAGGGAACTGTTAGAAAGAAAAGAAATTGAGGAGAAGAAACCATTTACGCAAGCAACGTGAGATTAAGATTAATGATTACCTAATTGTAATTTTATGTTCACAAAAATGTTAAATTTAATTCAAATGAAAATTTTCTTATTCTAACATACTTTTTATTTAAAAGGTTCGATCAATCATTTAGTAGAAGCATGTCTAACGATTAAATAATTTTTAATAAACATTAAATTTTTAGTCAGTACTCATTAATTTTCTGAAACGATTTCAAACTTACTCGTTCTCATCAGCACGTCATAGGCAGTTTCAGTAAATTATTTCTCTAATTTGAGTTACGTGTAATTACGTTGTCGGAGATCACCATGAATGATGGCATTACGTTTCTTTAATGAGACCACGGACCCACTAAGGAATAAGTGAAAGGTATGATGACCAATTGGTTTAAGTGTGGAACAATCGCCACGGGTGCTAATAATGATCACTGAATGTCCTAGATATTAATCGCAACACTCTCACTTTAAATTATAGTTCAATCACTTAATGTATTCCCTTTAACTATTAGAAGTAATTATTCAACTAAGTTATGACGAATAACAATCACCTTGTAATAATTACTTCTTTATTGAGTTGAAAATTACGAGATATAATTATTCATTCAGAATTTAGGTTATGTTAGGTTATGAGCAACCCTTTTATACTAAATTTGGCTCAACCCTATGGTGGAGGTAGTAATTAGTGTCTTAATAATTATTTATGTCTTATACAATTAAGCTGTATCAAAAATTCAGTTTGATAGGTACATAGATACCATCTTAAGACCCTTGTCAAACATTTTGAAATATTACAGTTACCAGTAAATATCAGTAGTTGGCGATAACGATACTGCCAATTTCTTGGTAAATCAACTCACAACTGCCCATGGCGTGCTGAAGAGAACTAATAAGTTGAAAATCGCGGTTTACGTTTGATAGCATTTGCCACCGTCACACCCTCGCTGTAACAAATTTTTCCTAATTAACTTGAGGTAATCTATAGTGGGAAAGAAATTAAATTAATGAGACATTAATATTTAACGAATTTATTTATTTAAGTAAGTGTTCACCGAGGAAAATCGATCGTCGATCAGTGGATTTCCTACTGAAGTGCTTACGATAGGGCATAATCGGATGATTATGAATCGAATAATTGTCATTGGAATAGTATTAACAGTCCAACTATCATTCGAATGATTTTCTAAATGACGACGCCACATTCGGGATCCGAAAACTACACTGATATAATTTTATTAATTTTTAATATTTTGGATCTTGTTTTTACTGACTTCAGTGATGTTACATACTTTCCAATACTATACTGAATTTACGCGACTACGAACTCTAGGTCTGCGATATCGTGAGATGTGCTCCTGGAAGTATTTGGACTCTATTGAGTCTTTATGTCGTCGCATAAACAGAAAGTGGAAAAAGTACAAGATGTTGTGGTGATAGGATAAGAAGAAATGAAAGCAGCTCATGAATAAATGAAAGAAGAATTGGAAGCAGCTCAACAAGAAGCGAAAAAAAAAACAGGAAGAAATGAAAGAAGAGTTGAAGCAGCTCAGGAAGAAATGAAACAGAAATTAGAAGCAGTACAGGAAGCAATAAATACGAGAATGGAGGACAAGATAAATATTATTAGAAATGAAATAGAAAACGGAAATCAAAATGGAAAAGAAGAATAAAAAAAAAAAAATATTGAAGTAATGAAATAAGAAATTTAAAGGCTAAAACTACCATTAAAAATTAAACCTCCGACTTTTGATGGAAAGATCTCATGGTCGATTCACCTGAAGCAGTTTGGAGCAGGGACAGCAAATTCCTAGACCGATTTAGCAATATAATATGACTTTCACCATCTTCAGCCGTTTAAAAATGAGATACGGCAATAAATATCTATATACAACAAGTATATCAGACGCAACTAAAATCTGTAACCAACGAACTAACGAGACTCTTCAACAATTTGAGACCGATGTGGACCGCCTGGTAAGATTCGTCTACCCCTCTAGCCTTAAGATTTCATAGACCAACTTGCAATACAAATATTTATCAATGGAGTCAGGGACAGTGAATTACAGCAAGTACTAAGAATAGCAAGACTCCAACTGAAACATGTGACAACACATGGCTTAGAATTTGAAGCGGCGAGACAGGCTTCCAAGAGCTATGTTCCACAAAAAAGGTATCGTGTCACATATCAAGAAATGCATAATCGATATCGATTGAGTCAACTAAGCTTGACAACTAACAGTTATTGAGCCCAATGGAATTTCCTTACCTTGGACTGCGGTATTTCAAAAAAGATGTGGGAGAGTCCAAAAGAAACCAGAAATAAGCTTCAAGAGGTACTTTCGAAGAACAGAATTTCAGAAGTCCTAGAAGCAATTCATGGCGAAGAACATTTCGGCGTTACGAAGACTAGCGAATGTGAGAGCTAATTTCCTATTATTACCGTTATCCACTGGACTACACGAGAACCACAAGCCGTTAATCTATGTCTTCTGTTAACGGATCATCACAACAACAAAGACACCTGGACCTCATCGGGGGATTAAGTATAATTCAAGATGTTTAGATTACACTCAATCTGTAGCAGTTGTTTGTTCTTTTAAGTTTAAAGTTTGAAATTATGTGCAGTTCAATAAACCATTTCAACAATACGTCAGGCATTGGCAGTATGATACTGTAAAATAGTTGTTGTTGCAATAATGTGACCAAATATACTTCATTTACTTTCTCTAGCGATGTGCCCCTTCCAACGTCTTGGATGCGCGCTAGCAAAATCGTAGGTAGGGAGAAAAAAGCTCATTATACTCTCGACTCTTGTTCATTAAACATACTTTTCATACAGTACATGTCAAAAGTTTTGTTCAATCATGAATAGTAGTGCGAGTCGAAAACAAGCGTTAAAGCCTTTAATATGTCTTCAAATATAAATAAACATCTCGTTGATATTTTCAGTAGTAAATGGTACCAATAACAGCACATTTGAGCAATGCAATT